TGATAATTATTTCTTTTCTCCCCAAAATTACGAAGTCAAGTCAACATCTCTCGTATTCTCCGTAAATTTCGGTTGAATTTTTAAGTAATTTAGACAAAGTTAAAATTTTATTACACAAACTTGGTTGTCTAGTTAAAATAATAAAAGCCAATAAATCCATGCCACGTTGTAAATACGAAAATCCCACCATATTTTCACATTGACAAAAATAACCTTACCTTTAGTTTTTAATGAAATGGTTTTGATTAATAAAAATGAGGTGTTACTATTTGACAGGTCAGCTCTTAAGGGGGGAATAGCGTAATTTCAGTCCATTTGCCTTATTTTATTTATTCTATTCTCTTTCGTCCAATTTAGATTTTATCTAAAAAGAATAATTTTTTTTTTATTTTTCAATTTCTTCCTTTTTTTTTTAATGAAAGAAAAAGCACCAGTGATATAGGAAATAGAGAGAGAGGGGGGGGGGAGTCTCTTTATTTTCTCATACCTCTCACCTTGCAGCTTAAGAAATACCAAAAAGAACATATATAAATTTAATTGAGATTTTTTTATTTTTATTTTTTCAATTTCGAAGATACATCTCAAATAAAACCCAGTTCTTGTTTTTCAGAGTAGATCTGTGTAATCTCCCCCTTCATCGATTTCGTGAACTGGTAAGTTAGTTTTGGATTTTAGTTTAATGTGATTTCGTGCAATCGAATGTTTCTTTTGATTTATCCAGAACCTGATCTTTTATTTACTTTTACTGTCAGTGATTTTTTTTGAATTTATTTCTGCTTTTGATCTTCTTTTTTCTTCCAAAGGTATGATACTATGAATCTATATTTAATTTTTCACAATCTATTTTGGTTGACATGTTCTTGATAAACATTGACTTGGCCGTTGCTGTTGTTTTCTTAGAATCCCAAGTGGGTTTATCTATTTATTTTGAGTTTTCGTTTTCGAATAATATCTTATGGAATCTTTATGAAACTAGCCTTTCTCCGTGTATTGATTCTAATGGGTGCTTTTTTTTAATCTCAGTTTGATTCTTATCAAATGAAAGCATGTGCTGTGAATGGGAGGGGTTAAACCCGAAGCCGATTCCGGTAACATCGAATACTTCTTTCGAAGATAGCAGACATCCTAGTGTAGATATGAATCACCTAACTGTAGTGACTGAAGATACTTTTGCAAGTCTGCTTGAGCTTGCTGCTAATAATGATGTCGAGGGTTTTAAACGATCGATTGAGCATGATCCTTCCGTTGTTGATGAGGTTGGGTTGTGGTATGGTCGTCGAAAAGGCTCGAAACAGATGGTTAGTGAGGAGAGAACTCCGTTGATGGTTGCTTCTATGTATGGTAGCATCGATGTTATTAAGCTGATCCTTTCCTCTTCAGATGCTGATGTTAACCATGTGTGCGGCCGTGACAAAAGCACTGCCCTTCATTGTGCTGCATCTGGTGGGGCTATTAACGTTATCGACGTTGTGAAGCTGCTTTTAGCATCCGGTGCCGATGTAAATATGGTTGATGGCAATGGTCATTTTCCTGTTGACGTTATTGTTGTTCCTCCAAAGCTTCGAGGTGTGAAATTAACTCTTGAAGAACTCCTTGCAACCGGGAAGTCCGATTTTGATCTGAGTTCAAGGGTGTCAGCTGTTTCAAATTCCGACTCCCCTCCTCTATTGCCTTCGCAGGAAAATGGCTCTTTGTCATCTGGTTTGGATTCCCTGATGAAGTCAGAGAAAAAAGAATACCCAATTGATCCATCTCTTCCGGACATCAAGAATAGCATCTATTCAACTGATGAGTTCCGGATGTATTCCTTCAAGGTGCGGCCTTGTTCACGTGCCTACTCCCATGATTGGACCGAGTGCCCGTTTGTTCACCCTGGGGAGAATGCTCGAAGAAGGGATCCTAGGAAGTTCCATTACAGTTGTGTCCCTTGCCCTGATTTTCGCAAGGGGGCATGTAGGCGTGGAGATTTGTGTGAATATGCCCATGGTGTTTTCGAATGCTGGCTACACCCTGCTCAGTATCGGACTCGGTTTTGCAAGGATGGTACTAGTTGTGATAGGAGAGTCTGCTTCTTTGCCCATACTCCTGAGGAACTCCGACCTCTGTATGTCTCCACTGGTTCTGCTGTTCTATCTCCTCGATCGAGTACTTCCAGTGCCACAGCTATGGATTTTGCTTCTGCTAAGAGTCTCTTGCCCGGATCACCTTCATCTGTATCCGCTATGTCTCCGTCATCATTCACACCACTCATGTCTCCCTTCGTGAATGGCATGTCACTTTCCAACGTTGGCTGGCCACAACCGAATGTTCCAGCCTTGCATCTTCCGGGAAGCAACCTTCAATCTAGTCGGCTGCGATCTTCTCTTCATGCGAGAGACATTCAAGCTGAAGACTTCAACTTGCTCTCCGATTTCGATGTGCAACAACATCAGCTGATGAATGAGTTATCTGGCCTTACCCGGCCATCGTTGAGTTCAAGTTTTTTTAACCGATCTGGTCGAATGAAGCCCCTGACCCCATCAAACCTCGATGATCTCTTTTCTGCTGAGAGCTCCTCTCCACGGTACTCCGATCAAGCGTTGTCTGCCGCTGTTTTCTCCCCAACCCACAAGTCTGCTGTTCTCAATCAATTTCAGCAGCAGCAAAACATGCTATCACCTATAAATACAAATTTTTCTCCCAAAGGTATTGAGCATCCTCTCTTGCAGGCTTCTCGATCTGGTAGAATGTCTCCTCGAAACGTTGAACCTATCTCACCGATGAGCTCTAGGATTTCAATGTTAGCTCAACGGGAGAAACTGCAAGAATTTCGCAGCCTAAGCTCTAGGGAGCTCCTCTCTAGCTCGGCTGCTATTGTTGGTTCCCCGGTTAATTCACAGTCAAAATGGGGGTCCTCCAATGGGAAGCCGGACTGGGCTGTCAATGCTGATGGGTCAGGCAAGCATCGTAGGTCGTCTTCGTTTGAGCTTGGTAACAGAGATGAGCCTGATTTATCATGGGTTCAATCCCTTGTCAAAGAATCTCCAACTGAGATCAAAGAGAAAATAGCATCACCGGTCTCGGGTGAGGGTTCAAGCATGAACTTGGATCCGGTCGATAATGCTGCATTGGGCGCTTGGCTCGAGCAAATGCAGCTCGATCAACAGAACTGAAACCTGATTCGCTGAGCCCACCTGAGGTATAGACAACAACAAAAAAAGGGGGTTTTGGTAAATAACATTCCAATTATTTTTTGTTCGGACAGGTAAAGAGGAATAGAAGGTGAAGGGAAAGAGATTGAGGTGAGTTTTACGATGGAAATGTCAGTTTTCACCATTTTATCATCATCATCATCATTATTATCACAACAAAACAGTTGGAACAAGTTGAGGATAATTCTCGTCTTGTGTTCTAAAGAAACTATGACCTTTAGTTGTTTTTTGTTTTCTTCTCAATGTAATATGATGATGATGTAACATTCAACTAAAGTTTTATTGATTAATTCCCATTTCAAATAGCTTCATTGTTCCTTGAATAAGTTTTTTTTTTAATTAGTTTCCATGAAAAAATTGAATAGGTTAAACATCTCTCTTTTCATGATAAGACGGTGATTGGAACTCCACACCATTAGATTATTAAGGGTTAATGTCACATTTTGCCCCTCAACTTTCATTGGTGTAGTGTATTCGCACAAAAAATAGTCTTCTCTTTATATTTCAAAGTGAAGGATGCAGGTGCTCGGAGCCATCACCGGTAGGGGAAAGTGGCAGGAGCCACAGCTGTAGTGACGTCAATGTGAACTAAAAGAGAGTTCATGGGTTAAATTGATATTTTATCAAAAGTTTAAGGGTTAAATTAAAATTTTATCATTTTCTTTAACTTGACAACCCATTGAACTAATGAGAGTTAGTGATTCGGTGATTCAGATTCAGTATAATGATTCGGTATAATATCGAACTTTTTAAAAATTGGTGATCAAGATTGAACAGGCCAAAATAAAAGGAACCGCCAATATTGTTTACCCTTTATATGTGTATCATTTTATACATTATTTTAATATTAAAACTTCAATTTTTTTATTAATTGCTTGACAACTTGAATGCTTTTGATTTCAACCCGTTTCGATTAATTTATGAAATTCTCCTAATTTAATTAAAAAAAAGTTTTATTCGTTATTCTATATTGAATTTATAAGATGTTTCAGGTTGTATTTGAGGTGTTACACATTTCATGCTAATATAAAATTGTTTGTCTTATTTGTAATATTTTTTAGGGTTAACAAAATTCGATTTAATAGTATTTTTTAAAATTGTAATTATTTAAATTAAATTATTCGAGTTAATTTTGTTTTCATTTATAGTTTGAGTTCGAGTCAGATTAGAAGTTTGAATAATCAATAAATCTAAAACTAAAATGATGTCGCTTTAATCTTTAGCTAATTAATTTGATTATTTTACAATTTAATCCTTGATTTTCTTTCTTTTTTTAATTCATCTTTCATTTTGAGTCTAATTTTTACCAAATTTAGATCACGGTCTTCTCAACCTTAAAACATCTATGCAGCAATATAACTTCAATTATTTTTTTGAAATATTTTTTAATTTGATCTCTCAATTACAAATTCTACTACTTATTTTGTATATATTTTATAAAATTCTCCCTTGCAATAACAAAGTAACTTTTTTACCAAAGAATATATAGGCATTTTTCTCTTTTTAATTATACATTATTTTATCCTAATAGCCATAATCTTATTCATGGAAATATTATCGTAGTCTTCAAAAACCCACAATTTACGAGTTGGAGGGCTGCCCCAATAATAAATTTGAATTAATCATCAATTACCGATAATAAAACCAAAAATATCCATGGGAAATATCATTATTCCTCATTCTCAGCAAAAAAAAATAAAGGTGCTAAAAATGGACAATGCAAATCTAATTAACTGATATTTGAAAAAGAAAACACACCCAAACCTGCTAATAATTTCTTTAAGACGTATAAGACAAGGATTATCCTCCACCTGTACTAACTGTTTTGTTGTAATAATAATGATAATGAATGGGGAAAATTGAAGTTTCCATTCTAAATCTCACCTCAATCTCTTTGCCTTCACGTTCTTATCTTAGTTTACCTTTCCTTCAACATTCAATAACCACCAGAATCCCAAAAAAAATACCAATGTTATTTACCAAAACCATTTTTGTTGTCTCTACCTTCGGGAGGGCTCGACGAAACCGGTTTCAGTTTTGCTGCGCCACGAGTTGATCGAGCTGCATTTGCTCGACCCATGCACCCAACGCAGCATTATCGACCGGATCCGAGTTCATGCTAGAACCCTCACCCAAGAACGGTGCTTCCATTTTCTCTTTGATCTCAGTGGGTGATTCTTTTACAAGGGATTGAACCCATGATAAGTCTGGCTCGTCTCCGTTACCGAGCTCAAACGAGGATGACCTGCGATGCTTGCCTAACCCTTCAGCATTGACAGCCCAATCCGGATTACCATTGGAAGGTCCCCATTTTGACCATGAATTAACTGGGGGGGAACCAACAATGGCAGCAGAGCCAGAGCCAATCTCCCTAGAGCTTAGGCTGCGTAATTGTTGCTGCTTCTCCCGTTGAGCTAACAACGAAAGCCGTGAGCTCATCGGTGAGGTAGGTTCAACATTTCGAGGAGACATCCTACCGGATAGGGAAGCCTGCAAGAGATGATGCTCAATATTTTTAGGAGAAAAATTCGTACTTATAGGTGATAGCACGTTCTGCTGTTGCTGAAATTGATTGAAAACAGTAGACTTAAGAGTCGGGGAGAAAACGCCAGCGGCCATCGATTGATCCGAGTACCGTGGAGATGAGCTCTCAGAAGAAAAGAGATCATCGAGGTTTGATGGGGTCAGGGTCTTCATTCGACCAGATAGGTTAAAAGAATTAGAACTCATCAGCTGATGGTGCTGCACATCAAAATCAGGCAGCAAGTTGAAGTCTTCGGCTTGAATGTCTCTTGCATTAACAGAAGATCGCAGCCGACTAGATTGAAGGTTGCTTCCAGGAAGATGCAGGGCCGGAACATTCGGTTGTGGGCAACCAACATTTGAATGAGACATGCTGTTCATGGAGGGAGACATGGGTGGATTGAATGGTGACGGAGACGTCACCGATACAGATGAAGGTGATCCAGGCGGGAGACTCATGGCAGCAGCAAAATCCATTGCTGTAGCGCAGGAAGTACTCGATCGAGGCGAAGGAACACCAGAACCAGTGGAGACATACAGAGGTCGGAGTTCCTCGGGCGCATGAGCAAAGAAGCAGACTCTCCTAGCACAACTAGTACCATCCTTGCACAACCGAGTTCGATACTGAGCAGGATGTAGCCAGCATTCGAAAACACCATGAGCATATTCGCACATATCTCCTCGCCGACATTGCCCCTTGCGAAAATCAGGGCAAGGAACACAACTGTAATGAAACTTCCGAGGATCCCTTCTTCGAGCGTTCTCCCCAGGGTGAACAAACGGGCACTCGGTCCAATCATGGGAGTAGGCACGTGAACAGGGCGGGACCTTGAAGGAATATATCCGAAATTCATCCGTTGAATAGATGCTGTTCTTGATATCTGGAAGAGACGGATCAATCGGGTATTCTTTCTTCCCTGTTGCCGAAGAAACAGGAGCATCACTTGGCCTCAACTTCGTTGGGGAATCTGAACCAGATGACAATGAGCCATTTTCCTGCAAAGGCAATAGAGGAGGGGAGTCGGAATTTGCCAAGGCCGACACCCTTGAATTCAAATTGAAACCGGAATTCTCAGTCACAAGTAGTTCTTCAAGAGTTAATTTCACATCTCGAAGCTTTGGAGGAAAACCAATAACATCAACAGGAAAATGACCATTGGCATCAACCATATTCACATCGGCCCCGGCAGCTAAAAGCAGCTTCACAACATCAATAACGTTAACAGCCCCACCGGAAGCAGCACAATGAAGGGCAGTGCTTTTGTCACTGCCACACACACGGTTAACATCAGCATCCGAAGACAAAAGGATCAGCCTAATAACTTCGATGCTACCGTACATAGATGCAACCATCAAAGGAGTTATCTCCTCATTAACCATCTGCTTCGATCCCTTCCGACGACCATACCACAATCCAACCTCATCAACACCGGAAGGATCATGATCGATCAATCGTTTAAAGCCGTCAACATCATTATTAGCAGCAAGCTCAAGCAAACTCGCAGAAGTATCTTCAGTCACTACAGTTAAGTGATTCATATCTGCACTAGGATGTCTGCTATCTTCAAAAGAGGTATTCGATGATATCGGAGTCGGCTTCGGGTTTAACCGCTCCCATCCACGGCACATGCTCTCATTTGATAAGAATCCAACTGAGAATAAAAACAAGAAAAAGCATCCATTAAATCAACACCCGGAGACAGTTTAGTTCCATAAATATGATCGAATATTCCATAAGATATTATTCGAGAAAAAACAAAAAACAAATTAGAACATAATAAATAGATAAATCCACTTGGGATTCTCTAAGATATCAACAAGAATATATGAACCAAAACAATTTGTGAAAATTTTTGGATTTAGAACAAAAGTGAAATTAACAGTAAGGTATTTCATATTCTTTGATTGGGGTAATCAAAAGCATAAATATCAGTCAAAATACACACTGAATATTATGATTAAAACTTACAGAGAATCTTGCAACAGATTTTTCAATAGTCATAACAAGCAAAATAAAATAACTTTGAAAAGATAATATAAAAAATCACTGACAGTAGAAGTACATAAGAGATCTGATTTTGTAGAAATCAATTTAAAAAAAGAAGACAGCTAAAAGGGAAGTTAAAACAGAAAAAGATTCATTGCATGTGATCGAACCACTCATTGCACACCATCTTTGAAGATATATATATATATATATATAACAAAGCTTCATTTCAAATAGAAGAAATATATATACTAACTTTAAGCTAAAACACAAAAAACAGAGCCTTACCAATTCAAAAATCCATCTTAGTTCCAAGAATTACACAGATCTACTCTGAAAGAGAAGAACCGCTTCTACTTCGATATATATATATATTCAGAAATGAATTCAAAAATAAAAAATAATCTTAATTAGATTTATATATTTTTGGGTGCTTTTAATTAAAGCTAGAAGGTGAGAGTTCTGAGAACATGAACAGCTTCCCATATAAGAATATATATATATATATATATATATGGACTAACTAATAGAAAAAATAAAATAAAGCGTGAAATGTCGATATACCGCCTGTCTATTGACCAATTATATTGTAGCGTCCTGTTTTTTCTGCGTCACTAAAAAATAATGGTGAGGCTATTGTCGTCAACAAGGAGAATACTCGATTTCTTGTTTTCCACGTGGCATGAATTCATTTGTTCTTGATATTTTTAACTAGGACAAGGCCTTTGACGGACAACCTAAGTTTGTGTAATGAATTTAATTAGGTCAAATTGCTTAGAAATTCAACCTAAATTCACCTTTTACATTACATTTACATTACCGTTAAATTTACCAAAGAAATAACCATAAACAACAACGAACTTTCTTACGGAGAATAGGAAGGAAATGCTAACGTGGCAGGCTTTCATTGGATTTTGACACGTAAGGAAAATTCATTTTCCTTAAATACCCTTGATATTTTGCTAAAAAGCATTCGTTTCCTATTCATGAATCCATACGATTCTGACACTTGATTGGTGTCCATGGCCAGGGTTGATTGGACTGAGTCCTGGTTTTAAAATAATTTTCAAATCCATGTCCAATTCACTTAAATCGAAGGATGAGCTCGAACAACTCCTTGAACATGTTAAGAATAAAAGTTGTTAGGGAAGATAGAAATCTATTAGAGGATTAGTTAGGTAGTTAGCCTCTGTTGTAAATATTATATAAGTGATGTAAATGTGATAAATTAATATATTGAGACATTTTCAGTAATTTTCTTGTTTTAACATGGTATCAGTCTAATTTCGATCTTTTTGCTTTGTGGCTTATGCTTCTGTCTCTTTTTCATTTTGTCCCTTTTCTTCTGATTACATCTTTTCCCCTTTTTTTCCTCTTTTCTCGACGATGCCTTCTACAGAAGAAATTGACTTCACTCACTTACTCTATCTCCACACATCTGATATGTCTGGGCTTCTGCTCGTTTATCAGCCACTGATTGGCTTAGAAAACTACAGCGTTTGGAGTCGTTCAATGAAGATTGCATTACTTGCAAAAAACAAGCTAGAGTTCATCGATGGTTCCTGTCAACGAAGCGATTACAGTGATGCGTTGCAAGTACAGTGGGGTAGATGTAATGCCGTGGCTCTATCTTGGATCTTGAATGTCGTCAGCAAAGATTTTTCAGCCGGACTTGTGTTCACCTCCAGCGCTGCTTCCGTTTGGAACGATTTGCAGGAGCGGTTTGATAAAGTTGATGGCTCTCGCATATTTTTTTTGCATCGAGATATTGCAACTCTCTGTCAAGGTGAATATACCATTTCTGCTTTCTTTACTCGGTTGAAAATGTTGTGGGATAAGTATGAATCCTTGATCCCGTTTACTGCCTGTGACGATGATGTTTCCCAGCAGAATATGAAACACCTTATTCAACAAAAATTGTTTCAATTCTTAATGGGATTAAACGAGTCTTACTCAGCGATTATGAGCCAGATTTTGCTTATGAAACCCTTGCCTACGGTGAATCAAGCTTATTCCATGATGATTCAAGAGGAATCGCAACGTTCTCATCTATTTGTAGTTGTTGTACCTGATTCGATGGCCTTGTTCTCTAGTTCTGTTGCTTCCTCTGAGCGAAAACGTTTTTCTGGTACTTGCGATTACTGCAAGATTAAAGGACACAAGAAGGACCAGTGCTATCGTCTAATTGGATTTCCTTCCAATTAGAAGTTTACTAAGAAGAAAGCAGTTTCGAATGCTGTGGCAAATTCAACAGTTTCTGTTGACCCGGTGACTGCTTCCACTCGACTCAATTCAACAGTTTCTTCTCCTCCGTTGTTCACTCAAGAACAATATGAACAAATCTTGCAGTTGCTGAACAAACCACTTGCAGACTCTGTTATTAACCTTGCAGGTACATTTACTAACGATCCTTTACATTCCAATGTTTCACTTAAATGGATCGTTGACACGGGAGCAACATACCATATTGTATTTGATTTTAAGAGCCTGAATTCTTTTAGTCCTTGTGATTCCTCTACTCGGTTTATTTATTTCCCTGATGGAAAAGAAGTCCCTGTCACTCATATTGGTTTTTGTTCTCTTACTTCAGATTATAGCCTTGACAATGTTCTTGTTGTTCCACAGTTTAAACATAATTTACTGTCAGTATCACGGCTTACTCATGATCTTGGTTGTTTTTTTACTTTTTACCCTGATTTTTGCCTTCTACAGGATCTTTGCACTGGAAGGATGAAGGGGATTGGTAAGCAGTCTAGAGGATTATATTTTTTTGAGTCTGCTTCTTTTTCTTCTGGTTTGTCCGTTCCTCAGCCCCCAGTCTTAAATCATTTTTCTTTTACTGCACCTTGTATGAATTCTGCCAAGCTTGACACTTGTATTTGGCATGCTAGATTAGGGCATGTTGCTTTATCTACAAAGAATAAAATAGATTGTTTGTAGTCTGTTAAGTTTCAACATGATTTGGTGCATAAATGTTCTATTTGTCCTTTAGCTAAACAAAATAGATTACCTTTTCCTATAAGTACCTCTAGGTCTGCCATCCCATTTCAGCTTATTTACATTGACTTATGGGGTACGTATAGAGTTTCTACACACAGTGGTCATAGGTTTTTTCTTACTATTGTTGATGATCACACTAGAATGACTTGGCTATATCTGTTGAAGCACAAAAATGATGCTCTTTCCTCTTTAAAACAGTTCATTTCTTTAGTCAAAACTCAATTTTCTACCTCTGTTAAAGTAATTAGGAGTGACAATGGCTCTGAATTTTTTAATTCAGAATGTTCCCCTTTCTTTTCTTCCCTTGGCATTGTTCATCAAAGTTCTTGTGTGGGCACTCCTCAGCAGAATGGTGTTGCTGAAAGGAAACATAGACACATCTTAGAGGTTACCCGGGTCCTTCATTTTCGTTCTAATATTCCTATTAAATTTTGGGGAGAGTGTGTACTCACTGCATGTTACATTATCAATAGGCTTCCCTCCTCTGTGATCAAATGGAAAACACCATTTGAGATGCTTTATCACCAACCACCATCTTTTCCCATCTTAAAGTCTTTGGTTGTTTATGTTATGCCACTAAGCCACACTATAGTGATAGATTCTCATTAAAAGTCATTCCTGCTGTGTTCTTAGGTTACAATGCTACTCAAAAAGGCTACATTCTCTTTAATCTTAACTTGAAAACGTTTTTTGTTAACCGAGATGTCATCTTTCATGAAGATGTCTTTCCATTTAAATTTGCTTCCTCCAATCAATCTTTTTTTTCCTCCTCATCATGATATACCCGACTCTGCATTTTTGTAACTCTCATTCCCTTCCTCACTTAACCAAATTCCTTCCTCAGATTCTGTTTTGCCTTCAGATTCTTCAGAAATCTCCACTAATCCTTCTTCAACTGATTCAAATGATCTTTCTAATACTTCAACAGATGTAGTTCCAATCATTATTCGTCAAGCTTCTGTTCCTAACCCTGTGACTACTAGAACATCTTCTAGAGTTTCAAAACCTCTATCTTGGTTACATGATTATGTTCATACCTGCCAATCTACTTCTCCTTCAGGTCAGTGTCCTATATCTCACTATATTTCTTATTCTCATTTACCAAAATATACATAATCTTTTGTTCTTTTTGTTTCTCATTTCTCTGAACCAAAAACTTTTCAAGAAGCCCAATCTGATCCTAGATGGGTTAAGGCGATGCAAGAGGAAATTCATGCTCTTGAGTTAAATAAAACTTGGTCTCTTGTTCCCTTGCCCCCAGGAAAAGTATGCATTGGATGTAAATGGGTATTTCACATTAAGTTTAAAGCCTCAGGTGAAGTTGAGATGTTCAAGGCAAGATTTGTGGCTAAGGGTTATAATCAAATAGAGGGAGTTGATTTTGTGGATAATTTTTCCCCTATTGCTAAGCTTACCATAGTTCGTTTTGTTATTGCACTTGCTGCCATTTTGGCTTGGTCTTTATGGCAAATGGATGTTCACAATGCTTTCTTGCAAGGTGATTTACTTTAGGAAGTTTACATGGAGTTGTCTCAAGGTTTTTGTAGTCAGGGGGAGAATGTTGTGTGTAGACTACAAAAGTATCTCTATGGTTTAAAGCAAACCTCGAGACAATAGAATGCCAAGCTCACAGAATCCCTCATCTTAGCATGATATAGTCAAAGCAAACATGATTATTCTATGTTTACTAAGAGACAAGGGGATTGTATAGCAGTACTTCTGGTTTATGTTGATGATCTGCTAATCACAGGAAATGATGCTAAGATGATTTCAGAGTTGAAAGTGGTGCTTCATAAGAACTTCAAGATGAAAGACTTGGGAGAACTGAAATATTTTCTGGGCTTGGAAGTTTTGAGAAAAAAAGAAGGGATATTATTAAACCAGAGGAAATATACCCTTGAACTTATTCAAGATGAAGGGTTAGGGGGTGCAAAACCTGCTGCAACGCCCTTAGAACAGAATACTAAACTCACTACAATGGAATATGATCATTTCCTGCAACAAGAGAACAAAGATGAGGATTGTTTAGTTGACAAAGCATAATTTCAAAGGTTAATTGGCAGGCTGCTTTATTTGAAACATACAAGGCCTGCTATAGTTTTTTCAGTCCAACATCTTAGCCAGTTTATACATAAACCGAAGAAAGAGCACTTGGAGGCAGCTCTTAGAGTGGTAAGGTACATAAAGAATAATACTAGGTTGGGGATTATCTTGAAAGCTTCAAGTGGTTGTCAGCTGGTGGCTAGCTGTGATTCGGATTGGGCAACATATCCAATGACAAGGAAGTCAGTGACAAGTTTCTATGTAAAGCTAGGTGATTCACTAGCTTTATGGAAATCAAAGAAACAAAGTACCATAGCGAGATCTTCAGCAGAAGCTGAGTATAGAAGTATGAC